CACCCCTATACACATTAGTTAAGAACTAGCATTTTTGGTAATTGGTGGATTTATTTATTTATTTTTTAAACCTCAGCAGAATAGTGATTGAGGGATTTTCTGAATTCTAAATACAGGGCGATGAAGACTTTCTCCATGGCATTCACATATATTATATCATCTAAAACTGCAAGTTGAGACTTTTTTTTGTTTTTTTGGATGAATTTGCAAGTTGAGACTTGGGAATATCACATAAGGGGTTAGATATAACCAATGACTCAGTAAATGGAGAAATAATTTCGGAGGCCGGTGACATGCGACGAAAAAGGTGAGGACTTTTTTTGTATTTTGGACCACGTTTCACCGAACATGGCATTTTGGAGGGTGACATGTGACGAAAAAGATAAGGACGTTATATCTTATGCCACGTTTCAACAAACTTGCCACAGAAGAATAAGTAATCTTGCTGGTTGTCGCTCCACCATATATTAAATTCACTGCTTTCACACTGCATTTTTCAGCTTCTCCAACCATGTTTTGATTACGTTTTTGACAATTGACATTTATATAACATTCTTTTTATATCAAAATAATTGTAATTTTTTAGTTTTTTCATTTTATAATTTACAAATAATTTATGTATTTATTTAAATTTTAAAAAAAATAAATAATAAAATTTTGTGATAGAATAAGTAATTAAAATAAAGAATTATTGATAAAGTTAAAATTAAAAAATATTTTTTACATTAAAAATAAAAAATAACAATTAATTTTAAATAAATTTAAAATTAAAATATTACATAATTATTTTAAGATAAATAAAGTAATTTTTGTAATTATAATATTATCAATTGGTGTTAGAAAGTGTGGAGTATTTTCGAATTGCCTTGATGTGTACCAGTGAGGTTTCGAACATATTTCCATTTCCCCATTTTGGGCCGAGCAACCCAACCTCAGCCTCATCCAATGATCCAACATTACATGTAAGTTGGGCCGTCTCCCCTTTCGTCAAAATCTCAAAATTTTTTATCCATTTT